AAAAAAAAAAAAAAAAAAAAAAAAAAAAAAAAAAAAAAAAAAAAAAAAAAAAAAAAATAAGTAGGAAAAGGAAGGAGGGGAAGTGAAAAAGTGTCTCTCGGTGGGGGGGGGTGGGATCCCTTGGGGGAAGTGGGTTGTTCCTCGCGAGACTTTGCCCTGCCCGCCTATCTTTTGTTGATAGCGTCGTGGCTCTTCGTAGTCGCTTCCTGCGGTCGTACGTATACGCGTGTGTATACCTGTGTGTCGGGAGGACCCCCTGACGCCGTCGCGGCTCTTTAGGAGTACGGGGGAACCGGAAATTGAGGGAGAAAGATAGAAGGGTGGAAAACGGAGGGAGGGGAGATGGAGAATAGCAGTTCTTGAGAAAGGATGGCCAGAAAAACAGACACGCGGAAGGAGAAAGGAAGCAAAGGTGCAGAGAAAAATGGGCCCGAGTGATATACTATAATAATATTGAGATGGATGCAGGAAGGAAGGAATGAGCTCCCAGTGTACGTGTGGTCTATATGTGATGTATATATGTATACTATATATGCGAGACATTGCGTACGTATGATCCAGGGACGAGATGGAGTATTCCTGACGTTTCCCTCTTTTATATTTTGGAATATCCTCCTTCAGGTCACACGGAAGCGCTACTTCGCTATTTTTAATACATCGGTACACCGCTGCTTCGAAAGAATGTATGGCCAGTTGTTAAACATAATAATAGATCTTGACAGAAACTAAGAATATCAATGCTGAGACGATCAAAAGATAACGCTATAAGTATATACTGCAGTTGACACGTGCTCTTGTGAGGTCACTGATACGTATATAATCAAAAATATTATCTATTGAATTGAGTCTCAATTAAAAAAAAAAAAAAAAAAAACCCTTTTACTCTTAAATTGAGTTTGGGCTTGAGGAATATTTATTTGAATTATGCATGGTTTTGGTATGCGCCCGATTGATAATTGTCTTATTTTCCTCGCAACGTCTTATTCGGGGAGGAAAGAGGATTCGCACGCAAAACCGAAACAGGGAGGAGCCCAAAGGACGCGGTGAAATAGAGGCAAGGGTCGTTGGTGCCAGGGTCGGGTAGTGCTTATCGGTAAATAACGCATTTCCGAAGCCAATTCCCCAGACAGGAGGCAAGTGTACGCGTATACACGCGCGTCCAAGGAAAAATGCGAAAGAAGCACAAATAGATAGATAAGGGAGGAAGCGTCGACTGGTTCTCCCAAAAGAAACCGAGGGAAAGGATGGACGGGGAAAAAAGTGCGGGTGCGGGAGGACCCAGAGCCCCCCCCCCCCGGAGGAGACGCGTGTTTACGGGTATAGCGCGCGTCGATCGGAATTAATGTTGACCCGAGGAAACTAGATTTATCCATTTATAGCGGAACTCGGCGAACTCGCGGCAGGAGCTACGGGAGGATCGAGTTATGTATCCAGTGTGAAAGAGAGCTATCCCGCTTAGCTATCCATCTCAATCGCCGGGCCGTACGGAGCCGCTTGTGTACGCAGGTGCCCCCCACACTGTATGCATATACACACCCACCCCCGATTCCCAAGAAACGCATTTCCCTTGTTCGCTCTCTTTTTGTCCCTGCTCTTCCTTCCACGCCACCTTTCTCTCGTCGTGGCAGCAGCCGTCCCTCTTTATTCCCATTCTCCTCCAGTTCCACCCACACACAAAGTTGGTTCGCCTTCTAGGTATGTGTATATATACACGTACGTGTGTGTATAGGCACCGGTTGGGCTGGTTAACGCGAAGCAGGTGCGCCGAGGGAGGAGAAGGGCGCGCCGCCGTGCAGAGTGGATTGCCAGCGGAGGCGTCTACCGAAGCTTCTGAAATTTTAAATGTCACCTTGGTTAAGTGCATCTCGACAGCCACCCCGACTCTCGGGACCTATGTGTATACCTATAGGCGTACACCCGACACGTGCGTGCATATATATTTATCGCTGCGCTACATATATAGACTATGGTGCTCGAAAAGTGATTGCCGATCATAACTCGCGCTCGGCCTGAAATTTTCATTGCTCGTTTACCGCGGGATATCGTTGCGGGTTCAATCAATGGAAATCTATCAGGATGCAGTATTCGTTAATGAAAATAATTCACGACGAATATCGCGGTGTAGGCGAACTTAATAAATCACGCCACGCATCCCCTAGTACATAAAACGGTGTGCATGTATACATACACGCAACATCGGAAGCGATCGCATGGCGAGTCTGATAAATTTGTCGGAAGAGAGCTCGCGGTGTACATACGTATTACACTTGCCTATGAGTATATATATATGCACGACGGAGTTACGTACAGTCGATATGCCACGAGGGCCAAGCCCAAGCAGGTGTACGCTCGCGAACAAAAAAAAAAAAAGGAAAAAATCGCGACTCCGCGCGCTTGCATAATACAGCCGGCTGACTCTCTGCGATGCGCCACACGAACTCACTCTCTGCCCCGTAAATTTTTCACCGCTGGAATTCGCCATAGGGGGCCCAGAACAGTCGTCGATCGATTCGCCGAGGGAGAGAAAGCCGCGCGCGCTCTTACGAGTGCTGTATATTTTACGGCGGAAAGACATCGCGGAAGCATCTATATATGCCTGAACGGCGCGAGGGGAGGAGGGGGCGTTTGAAATTCCTCGGCTGAAGCGGAGGAAGTATGTATAGGTACGCGGACTCGCGTTTCATCGAAAAGGCGCGAGTGGAGCATGCAAAAATACACTAGACTGGCAGCGAAGAAAATACACGAGAGGGTGCGCACACCCGAGAAAGGCGAAGGGTTACTCGTAATGGGCGCCAAATCGACCCCCTCGACTCGCTGCCGATGTGCTCTCTCAGCCCTATTATATTATGGTGCACGTCGCGCTTTTCTCCCTCCAAAAGTCTATCTCTCGTTTCGTAAAATTATTTACCACACCGCACGTGACCTGCCTCAACATAGTATTATATCTTCGCCCCCTGAACTTGAACGTACATCAATGGCTGACTCTGTTGTGTTTTATCTGTCGCTGTGATTGCGTCTCAAAAAGAGGTTGGATTATTCGGCCATTAATCCTGCGAAAGGTGGAGGGCTTGAGAAAATGTTTTTGTACATAGTGGATACTTGCAGGGTTCAGCACATCCGAAAATAATGAATCGGACGCCAGGCTTGGGCCCACATGCTCGAAACGTAAGAGGAAGTGCATGGAAATAAAATGAAAAATAAAGACGGTTAACCACACCTCTTTTCCTATCGGAGTACATATACCTTGTGTATTACGGATTGGGATTTTTTTTGCCGAGTATGTATACGTACTACTCGCGCATCGATTACCTTTTTTTTTTAGTAGTGATTTCGACGTCTAATCAGCAACGGGAAAAAAACGGAATTGTCGATTCGACTCGCAGTTAGTTGGCTGTTTGTAGGTTCAAAGGGTTTCCGATTGCGCGCTGGGATCGATAAACCGATCTACAACCAATAGATTTACAGATGGCGCACAGCCGACGGTAACTAGTCGAACGGGTGGCTTATTTCCCTGCCAAGTAGGCACTGCCGGAGATTACCCTTCCTTCGACATCTTGCTCGGCTCCCTATTCCCATCGACTCGCAAATAGCTCGTTTTTTCAGCCGCTATGGTGCTGTAACTGCTTGCTATTTTTTTTTTTTTTTTTTTTTTTTTTTTTTTTTCTTAACTATTCACACGAGTTCTGATCAATTTCGCGTTTTTTTTTTTTTTTTTTTTTTTTTTTAACTTCTTGAAACGAGTTACACAAGTCAATGTGTAATAGGTATTCCACGTATCCAGTTACTCAATACTCATCATAAATATTTACTTGATAATGGATGCCAAAAAATCAATTGAAATTTTGCTCTCCGATGTTTCAGGAAATTCGGGTGACCGGGTCAGGACGAGCTTACTCGTTATACTGATGAGCGTGTCCGGCTTTGTTTATCTCGCCCACTGAAGCCTCTTTCCAATGATCCAGACGAAGGTAAATATTAAATATTCATAAATGAAAAAAGTAAATCACCGGCTCACTATTTACTTATCGATTTGTATGTAAAAATTTACCAAAGATTTTTTTTAACGACAGATATTCTGAGGCATCAGCCGATCATTAATACATGCGCGAGAATATGTAATCGTGAATAAATTTTCATACAACCAAATGATATGAATATTTCAAACATTTTTTTTTTTTTTTACGTATGTTACAGCGACTTTTTTCAGCCAAAGAATCGGATGTGGATCAGCTACGAAAAAAAACTACCAGCGATGCATATCAGTGTCACGTGACTGTTTCACGCCAAAGAGATGATTCGCGACTAGTTCGCGAACGCAAATGTATGAAATTAAGCTGTACATAATATAAAAGGCGTCAGAGTTCTGTTAACAAAGGTTCAGAGAATATAAATGATAAATCGACGATTACGTTAGGGGAGTGTGATTTCACAATCAACATTTTATCGAGTAATAGTTTCCGCTCAATATTCAGTATTTCATGCAACAAGAGATAGTTTTATTGCGAAAAACTCGACATCCAAATAATTTTTTTTTTTTTTTTTTCGAGTAAACGATTTCTCCCTATGATTTCATTTTATTTTGCCTCTTCTTATCCGTAACGTCCATAAGTGAAGATATTTCAATAGTTCATGCAACAACGAGGCAATTAATATATTGACACTACAAATTATAATGGAGCTTGTGAAAATATCAATATTGAATCAGAACTTTAATTACATAATAATAATATGTTCCATACATATATATTATGCAGGTGTACTGTATCATAATATATACTTAAAGCGCACAATTTTTGCACATTTACGGTCGAAATTCTGCGATAAAAATTTTTCCAGTCAACATGTGTACATAAATTTCTATTATCTACAACGGAAATGGATGTAAAATAAGGCAAACGGTAATTTGATATATATGTGTAATCATCAAGAAATACTTGATAAACTGGATGTCAATTAAAGCAATTTTACAATGTAATCTTCACGTCAATGTACAACAAACGTAGAAATCCAGTGCGATACAATTCTTTGTATACGTGTTAATTTCATCTTCGTCATATTGCGGATGTAAAAAAGAAAAATTCGAGCACGTATAGGTCATCAAAGCAATCGTGAGTAATAAACCTAGTCTAGCAACTAATCATAAAAATAATACCAAATAAAACGTCGATATCATCACTGCATTCACGTGTACATGTATAACATAAATTGTCGTTGACTTATACCGAAAAACCCTAACTTGTACGAATAAATAATGATTATTTATACAATGATAACAAAAAAAGTGAGAGAGCTCGTGTAAATATAATGATAATGATTATTCTGTACAAAAAAATATATATACCTACACTAAATCGAGTTATGTCCTTATTTTTTCAGCCTTAGAAAATACCAATGTTGAAGTAAAGTTGACGTGAGGGGCAAAAGATACTGTTAATTATGTGAAATGTCAAATAACTAAGACGTTTAGAGAAATCATGTTATTATTATTAATATTATTATTATTATTATTGCTATTTATATTGACGTGTTAGGAAACAACCAAACGTATCGATATGTTACGTGAAAAGCGTTTTGTTTTTCTTTTAAATAAAAAGAAAATAAAAAGAAAACTCATCATTAAGTCTACTTCAATGAGTCACCCCTCGCCTCCCTTTTTATTTCCCCTCTGCCATTTTTTTTTCTTTTTATTCCAGAAAAAATTACTTGTACAGTCCATCGAAACACAGTAAGTTCTTGCTACGAAATTCGTCATAAATTTTTTCTCGATATCTCGAAAAAGCCGATGCATCACACGGTACACATACACACACCCACAGCCTCGCTTCTTCCATGCCGTAAATTCGACAATGGCCGCTCGTTCCGTGAAATCGACACTCGCCTCGAGCGCTCGTAAGAGCGACAGCGTTATTTCACACTTTACGAGCGCAGATAGGCGAGCCACTGGGGTAACTCGTAATCCCTCGCGGTTTCCTTTTTCCCTTGTCATTTTCTCTCGTGTACTCATGAGCAGGAGGCGAAAAGGGCGGCAGCGCGACTCCATTCCACCGACCATTTAGATCTCCGACGAGACAAAAACTTTTGTTTAGCCAACTTTTTCACCGGTAAATATAAGCTTGCGTGCTCGCGACACGATGGCAACTCTTTTTTTTTTTTTTTTTTTTTTTTTCTCATGTCAAAGTTTTGCGGCACACGTTTTTTCATTTTCCCTCGATGCTTTGCGGCAACAATGTTCTCGAAAGTGCTTGATAAAGTAATCAGATGAAGAGAAAAAAAAAGCCACGCTTGTTTTGCTCCCGCTGTTGGATCAATCGTTGACTCTCGTATGCTCTCCTGCAATCCAACTGCCGACAGCTGAAAACTTTGTTCATATTGTACGTAGGGATTATGTCACACGGAGCTCAGGAGGAATCCATCGATACCTTCGAGCCTGTCCTTTTTAACGTTGGAGAGGTACAGAGTAAGTATGAACGTGAACCTGCATGATCCACGGATGTAGGTCAAAGGTATAATTGTCCATTAAATAATGACTGTAGAATACAACAAAGCGCGTCGTCATCTCAAACGTGTTTGCCAAGATTCATGGCTGCTCCCGACCATTGTTATTTCCTCGCGCGTGGAAAAGTTTTTCCTTCCCTACGGTGGTCAGGACTAACCGCAGAACTCGTTGGAGAAGATAAAGCGATAAGGTTAAGTGAAAAGGGAGAAGAAAAATGTACGTAAGGATTGTTAAAAAGAAAAAATAAGGCTCTGATGAATATGCTCATTTATGTACTTTTACTTGTGTCCTTGCATGATATTCAATTTGAAACGCACTCAACAAATAGTATCAGATACGCCCTTAGCAGATGACCAATGCGCACGAGATCTGTCACAGTATTCATAATCCTCTATAGGTTGAGAGTTATTTCGTGCGGACACTATTTTTTTTATAAACAGATAACTACTTTAGCCCTTCGACGTACGGAATCGAGCTTACACCCGAGCTGGACACGAAAATTTCACGAAAATGCAACACCACCCCCTTCTATTGGACAAGTCTAATGAGACCCAAAGTTTAAAAATTGCCTGCGCGGCTTAACAAAGCTCTGCTCCACCAATACCAATTGAGCGGAAAGAGAGAGTTAACCGACGGGCGCAACCCCACTATCCGTACACGTATGCATGTGTGCCGTAGTGTAGGTACTGCGGTGGTGGCGGCGATAGAAAAGCTCCGAAAGCAGGTGCGTGCGCAAGCCCTGCGAGCGAGGACAATTGAGGGAGGGATGGACCGAGGGTTTTCATGGAGGGGGAGGGGGGTGCCTCACGCTCGAGGTTAACCCGTCAGTCGGTCAGTGTACGCGCGACCGAGTCAGGGGACACGAGCCCCCTCGAGCTCTTTCGTTCGTTCGGTTCGACGTATACCATATTGGTCGTAGAGCCAACTCTCGCCAGAGCGTACCAGCTATATCTCTCTTGTTCGAGCAACGCGAGTTTTGGTTTTTTTATTTGCAAGTGTCGATCGAGTGGCCCATCGTACGATGATAGAAATAACAAAATTGACATCCACGTATTGCTCGATCCTTGGCCTTGTTGCGCATTGGTTGGACAATTGCGTTGGAGTGACGGGTAGATTTTGAAGAATCGATTCTCGACGAAAAATTAACACTACAGCCCGTCGTGCGTGTGCTCGTTATTGTCCCGCGCAAGTGAACAGTGCCGGGCCTGATGGTGTAGCAAATAAATTCCATCGCGTTACCTGTATACACTCTTTGAGTTTACTCGTTCGCTGTCCACTTACCACAAATATTTTTTTTTTTTTTTCCCCTCATTTTTACAGTAGTAAGGACACTTATTTGACGGTTGTCTATGTGAAGCGAGTGATTTCAACAACGCAAGCCAATTCCGCGGCTGACATGCAGCTTGGATGCAAAAATAATGCAGCTGCGTTACTTGCGCGTTTCAGTGTCGGTGTACGACAGCACATTCTTTGCTCGTGGCTATAGTTGGCGTGTTTTCTGGTGACTGGAAGAAAACAATAAAACTCGGGTCGCACTCGTCAACAAGGATATTTATTATATTATCGTATGGTACTTACACAGAATATCGAGCAATGAGCAGGGGTGCACCAGTCGTCAAAGTTCATTGATCTCGTCTCTCGGCAACCGCCAATACATCGCGGCAGGAGCTGCGATGGGGGTCAAAGTGCGATTTTCCGGTGGCCCAACTGGATTGTTGCTACGATCGATCCTCGCGGTCCTAACGTTGCCCCTGGCTGTGCCAGGTGAGTGAGACCCCAATACCCACGCTCTATCCATTGTACGCGTAAGATTTTGGATAAAAGTCCTTGCGAACGAAAACGCGTATTGTTTCACGGCTGACTTTAATAAGCAGCCGCGCATTGTATCAGCTTGGATCTCGTTGGGGGAAGCTGGACCGTCTGGCTCTCCGCGATGCGTATACCCATACGTGCAAATGATATTATTCATAGTTGGAGTTGTCGTTGTTACACGGACGAGGCTGAATAAATTGACGGTGAAACGCCGAGTTGGCTTTTGACTGCCAACTAACTCGATTGGGGCCTCACTGTGCGCGCAATTTCACACGAGCACGCGCGCGGCTAAATATACGTACACGTGTACAAGCCACATCCTATATACAGGCGTGCGTTTGTCCCACACGTTACGGCCATTCAACGCGCGCCCGGTTAAACTTTGATCAAACGACCCGAATTACTTGAATAAATCAACAATATACGACACGACAGCAGTCGCAACGAGGGGACTATGGAGCACGTATATTTTTGTAGTCACGGGTATACCCCCGCGCCAACCGCAAAGCGGCATCCGTTCATTTTCTTGTTGATTAGAATAGTAAAATTACATAATGAGCGGTTTAATGGTACATTATATGCCAACGACAAAGAAACACATATACATACCCTTGAGTGTATACGTACCTATGTAACCCAAGGCAAAGGACTTTCACACGAGTGATGATACGGCTAAGCCGAGAGGTGTAGGAGCTTGAACATACACTGTATATACATGTATTTATATGCTTGCGAGCAATTTCAATTCGAAACGATAAAAGTCTATATAATATAATTATGTATACGTGGGAAAAAAAATATGGTTCACCGTCGTGTATATACGGTATACAAGTACAGATATAAAATGCGGCTACAAACGAAAAACAAAAAAAATCGCGAGCGCTCGAGAGAGCCCGAGCAAAGTTTTGCCATCTACTTTGGCCGATTAGCATACATCCGCGGTCGCGCACCTTCCCAGGACTCGGGTCGCATTGTTATTGGAAAAGTTGGATGGCCCCCGGCAGTTATCGCTTTCCGGACAAGTACTCCCACGAGGGAGAGAGAGAGAGAGCAGGTAAGAGGCCATCGCACCCCACTTGAGCTGCTGGTCTACCCGCACCTAGGATTGCCGCTAGTCTTGAGGATCCTCCTCCCCGGGTGGCTTGTCTGGCTCGGCGCAGGGACAGCTCCCCCTTCTCCTGGTATACACATCTCCTGGGGGACCGTACCGCGATTTTCCCCATACTGTTAAACGTGCCCTCGTGCCCCGAGGGCTAAAGTCACCGGGGCTTCGGGCTCCCCCGTATAAGTATACTCCCTATTTGCCGAAATTGCCCGGCCAAGTGTTAAACGCGGCTGTTATTGTGCGCCAAGCTGCGATCCGGGTCCTATTGTGCATTAAACACTGCCCCGGGGAGAGTTGCGTAGGGGGGGCTTATTTGCTTCGAGTGACCGGGTTTGCTGTTTGCGTCTCGTTTATTTTTCACGTGTACATGTATACCGATTGTTTGCTCGGGGCGTAAAACTGTGAAAAAAAAAAAAAAAAAAAAAAAACCAAAAAAATGCCATTTACCCCGAGCGTTGTAACTGAGAGACGGGGGTGGTTGCCACTTGGGTTTCCATTCAACGGAATAATTGTCCAATAGCTGTGTTTCGTGGAAATTATTTTTCACCTCCAGCGCGATTTCTCGCGTCCACCAAAGAGCCAAGAAGAAAGAGGTCGATGCGGGCGGGCACTCGTTATTTACCCTTGGGGAGTTGAAAAAAAAGCTTCTCGAGGTTCTTTTCCCTTAAGGTTCCATAAACGAGGGATCTTGAGACTTGCGTCTGTTGCAAGAAAAAAAAAAAAAAAAAAAAAAAAAAAAAAAAAAAAAAAAAAAAAAANAAAAAAAAAAAAAAAAAAAAAAAAAAAAAGAAATGGCTCAGGTTTCAATTAATCTTGGCACTGTACGACTCGGCGCAAAAAGTAGCAAAGATCAGAGAAGACGCAGGGTAGGAAGGGAAGGGAAGGGTTTGGGGGGGTTGAAGATGAAAGGGGTGAAGTGAAATTTTGCCCTGCGTAGGGTCGAAAGGGACAAAACACGAGAGGAGGGGGGGGCGTACTATATGCACAGTTACACGCGAAAGGGACGAGAGAGCAGGAGCGACAGGGAGCGCGTAATTTCCATTTGTATTCCAACGAGGGCGCTGAGTGAAACTTAGTGCCCGCGCCGTAGATCTTTATTCAGGGAGCACCCTCTCACACTTATAGCCCGCGCATCTTCATTAGCAGTATCCCTGCTGGCAGGGCTCTTTGCTCCCCGAGAGCTCCTCGCTGTGCCGTTGTCGTCGTCGCTACCTGCAAGATAGTATTGTTTGCCGTAGTCACTGTAACGGCCCATAGGTTATACGCACAATTATTCATGCACCACGAGGAGTAAGGGGTGGGTGCGCGGTAATAGTCAGGAGAAAAATAATAATCTCTTTTGGTACAGCTGGGAAAAGCTCGTTTCATCGAAAGAGTTGACTGCTCGATTTATCCGTGACCGGGGAGATTCGTGTTATCTGCACGGGCTACGTATATTCTCTCATCGGTGACATCTCCATGGGTGCATCGCGTTGCTCCCGGCTCTTTCGGACTAGGAGCAAATTTATTCGCTCTTCTCACCGTATTACTAGCTGGAGCGTTCTAGTTACTCACTCCGAGAGAATTTTTTTTCTTTTTCTTTACTTTCTCTGCTTTCTTTTCCGCGAGTTTCACTTGTCGGGTGATACACAAGTGCACTTACATATCTACGGCGAAGCTGGAACAATATTCCTACTGACGGGTACATCGCACCCCGACGTAGGTACTTGACTCGATAATGGCCCATGCGCTTTAACGAAACTCGATTCTCAGTGCAGTCGATTGGCTCTGCCGGCTCGGCTGGGTTTATCGTGAAATTTTTTTTTTTTTTTTTTTTTTTTTTTTTCTTCCTCCCGCAGTCTTGCTCCTTTTACGCTCAAAGTTCCGAGTTGTTCGGTTTCTATCTGAATAATCAAGTTTATCGCCGAGTCGACCTCTTTTTTCATTTAGCATGGCTTATTTTATATTCTTTCCCTACTGTATTTTACTTCATACCATTCCAGTGTCACAGTAATATGACACCAAAAACTAAATTAATTAATTAACAGACAGATAATTAGTTTGATGGAAAAAAAAAAGAGAAAAAAGCTCACCCCCCCCACCCTTATTCCATGGTTACGTGTAAAGGTACAAAATGACAAGGTAATCAACGACCGGCGAAACGCAATGTTTGTTAATCCAGCTTTTTTTTCCCCCACGAGTACCAAGATTATACGCATTCCAGACACGTATGGCACCTCTGTATGCACGTAAACGTACACACGTACCAACCCCCGTACACACGCAGGAGGCATCGCCAGCTCATCGACTTTGCTGCAATTTAATCCCATCCCGCTTTAAGAGGCCATACGCCCAGCCCCTACCCACGTCACGTCCTAGTTAAAGCGCGTATAAATTACGCGTGGCGCGACTGCCGCATACGAGTCGCATTACATACATACATACGTGTACGAGCGTGGGGGCCAAGCCCCCTTGAATGGCTTCATTACGCCTCGCACTCGAGATCGGAAATTTGTATACATGTGAGCGCACTGTGTCCCCTCCCAACCTCTGCCCCGGTTTCCGTATCTCTTCGAGTATTATACCGCCGCGACGCTCCCACTTTTCTCGGAATCTCGAGCGTGAACGCGGAAACCTATATACGTGTACTGACTCGCAGCGAAACGCAACGTAAAATTGATAACGCCTTGCGGGAGTTACTTAAATAATCTTTTAACTGAACACTATTTAATAGTCACGCTTTTCTTACCGTACATCGGCTCAAAGGCAATCCCCCCTTGTTCAGCTTTAAACCGGCAAGCAATGATTAAGTAGTAAAAGCCGGATACGGTCAGACGCAGCTCTCGTTGTTCGTCGTCCTCTTTCTCCGACGACTCGCCAAGGGATTTCTTTGCCCCTGGATGTTGTTTCAGCCTTGGGCAAACGTCTCCCGTGAATTTAATTCGGCAAAATTTTGGGTATGGAAAATTGATCCGTTTATTTTTAATACTGTTGCAAAAGGGAGCGGACGGATAGTCGAATGATTCTATTAGCAATGGAAAGAAAATAAAATAAAACACCCAACCCCCCCCAGGGAGTCCCCGTGGAGAATAAAATAAAGGGAGCGTATCTCCGCATCGGGAAAAAAGCATACCGAGGACACAGCTTTGATCTTTTGCGCGGTAATTATACTTGGAGTTTGCAGTGACACGAAAATGTCTCCGATAATGAAGAAAATACCCGGCGTTGTTTGTAGCTGTTCAACTGATTTTTGTTTGATAACATTAAACGGGATTTTCCAAAGAATACGGGCAACCGGAGTAAACCTTGGGATCCTTTCACAAAGCTATACAAGACGCGCCTTAAAGAAAAGCCGAGGAAGAAGAAAAGAGCACTTCTCGGAGCTGTCGTGGACGCGCAATCGTGAATATCCCGCGCTCTGGCCCCTTGTGCAACTGCTACGCGCCGTCGTTTTTTTTTTTAATGAGCTGTAGCGCACTGTAAGTAATATATCTATGTGCATGCATTACTGTACAAAGGGCTCTCTTGTTCCCCCTTCAGAAATTAACAAAATACGGTAATTAAAGAGGAAGCTATGTATTGGGGCATGACTGTATAGATCGCACTGATCTACGTACATCACTGTCACTTTTGTCGATAAAATTAATTAGTCCCCACTCGACAGCCCATCGCCTCGTTTGCCCTCTTGCATCCTCGAAGCGGAAAAGGAAACGAAAGGCGTAAGGGTGAAATATACGAGAATCAAGACAGCGCGCTCGAATGCGTATTCTCTAGACTCCGTTGAGTCGATCGCAGGTATACATATATAGGCCCATTATTCGTATCGTCCGCTCAAAGGTGGGCAGAGCTGGGAGAGTGTCTTCGAGAGGACCCCGATTATTGAGTGTTACAAAAGAGTCGCGCACTCGGACGAGACCCTTGAGGGCCTCCCTTTACCGCATCTCCCTTCGCGAGTGCGCACTGTACGCATATCGAGCACTACCGCCAGCCCTCCCTTTTGACGGTCTTCTTTGATGTTCCGTGTATTGCGTGCTCCAGAGACAGCACCATTGTTCGATCGCACGCGGTGGCACTTCCAAGTACCAGAGTGTGGCTCTTCTGGCTTTTTTGTTTTGTTTTGTATGTACCTCCCTTTCGCTGCGATGAGAAGAGGTGACTCTGTCGCAGACTTTTTTCTCCATGTGAAGCTACAGCGCTAACGTTTTTCTTTTGCTCCCCCAGTGTAACAAGTATCAAAGAACGAAACGAGGAGTATGTGGGCGTCACGAAAAAACTCGCATTTGTTCGGAAAAGGAGGATGTAACGGCTATTTGATTTTCCTGTACATCGGAACCATGTTCTGTTAGAGTCTTGAATAATGCAAAAATTTCGAGCATTAAAAGTAGCTTGAGGAAAAATTTACATACGCACACGTGCCCCACTGTATTCTTAAGATAAGTCACTGCAAAACTTGTCCCCGTCCTGACAACACTTTTATCCTGAAAAAGTTACGGAAAACAGCAACTAAATAATCAAGCCCGCATTAAAGATTGATGAGGCTGGAGTAGAAAATCATGAAGGTGGAATAACCCAAGAATTGCCACTTGTCTTTTCTCCAATTATTTCTCGTGTAAACAAACGTTGTCGGATTACTCGTGGTGTTCTCGACTCGCGTTATTTTTTATCATACCCCACGCGTATTGTACACATGATTCGTAACCCTGCATTTGTTCGAAACAAAAAAGAATGAACCATACATATAGATTCTGAGACGAGATATTACCTTGATTGATAGAGCATGAATATTTGCCCAGCAATCGGGAGGTAGTCCGTTTGAATTTCATCATTGAAATACCCAACCTTGAAATTGCAAATTGAAACCATCATGATGAGTAGTTTGTAAACACCTGCCTCGCTATTTGCCGACACTGAACCAGATATAAGCGATAGATTAGCGGTGCAGAAAAAGTTTAATTTGCAAGGAATTATATATAAATGTATACACATGTACTTATACAATTTAGAGAATGCCCGGGTCGACCGCAATACGTACATACAGATGCATCGCTGCAGTACGACGCGAGATGGGTCAACGAGTTCTTAATCCGATAAGCCAAGCGGGCGATATCAGCGCGAGACCGGGTAAAGAGGGACAGATAGAGCGGAAACGCGGAGGAGTTCTAAATGAAACTGGACTGAGTTAGGTTTGGCTATAACATCACGTTTCTCTCTCTCTCTCTCTCTCTCGTGCATTCAGTGGCCATTAACGCTGCTCAATGTTGTCGTTTAACGTAATAGCTCAATTCGACTGGCGTGTGTACGCGGTATCGATCGTCAAATCTGCATGTGTGTATATGAGTGCATACAACATGTTGGCGTGCGCGCGTTGGTCGTGCGAGTACAATAAAAACTCCAAAGGGGGGGCCCCACAGCTACGAGGACCAGGCGCCAGCGGCGACATTCCACTCCCACGTCGTGCGCGGCTGCAACCATACTCGTGCACGCTATCGTGGGTTAAGTCAGTCGATCTAATGGCAAAGCTCGACTATAGGACATTGGATAATAATACGGTTAATACCAGACGCGAGTGAGAGATTTGCAGCATTGCCCTTTTCTTCCGATCAAACAGAAATCAAAGTAATAAGATCAGTCCTAGAGATCCGATTGAAGACAATAGATTGTCCGTGTGTACGGTATACAAACAATTCGGGCTTTTTGCCCTCCGAAAGCCGGAAAAGTGGGTGCATAAATTCCCAATCTCCGTCTGACCAAAGTCGATTTCTTCCACTTGTTTTCCTCAAAAGCTCCCGGGCGTTTCTCTCCGATGATGTGTGTACCGTATTACGATAAAGTCATTAACCCAAAACTATCGAGTATCCGACTCATCGGAACTCGTACAGTAGTGGCATGGGATTCTCGCAATGTACCTCCGATTGTGTTTTCAACAGGAGCCCGAGCAATCAACATAACGACGGTCGTGATACCGAGCTTGATAAAGGCCGGCAGCCCGGAGCCGGTGATTCTCGACTGCAAGTACGAGCTGAGCAGTTCGCTGACCAAGGGTCTGGTGATCAAGTGGTACGTCAACCAGGACCTGATCTACCAGTGGATCTTCGGGAGTAAGCCCTCTGGCTCGGATGAGTTCCAAAAGTACATAGACGATACGTTCAAGGCGAGCGACGAGCCACACAGCATGTACAGGGCGGTCAAACTCGTGAGGCCCAGTCACGAGCTCAGCGGTGACGTCAAGTGTCTCGTATCGACCATGTACGACGAGGTCCAGGCTGTTAGGAAAATGCTCGTTTACTGTGAGTATGCCTTTCGTTTCTCGTGTATATCATGTCGTACCATCATTTTTCAACTTTCCTGCGATTTACAATGAATTTGGGGGGGTTTTTCTTTTTTCTTCTCATCCCTTGATCAAACGCTTAAAGATTCGAGCCATTCAAAATACTTTATCTATTTTAAGGATTAAACAGGCTCACATGATAAACAATTGCTCGAATGTGGCTCTTTGCTAAATTACTTACGTAAAGTATACCCGAGGAACAAAAGCGAGGGGCCGCGCACTTTGGAGTCTTTTGGAGACTTCCGAGATCTTTGAAAGACTTAGAATGACTTACCAAGTCTTTTTTAATGACTTGAAGGGTGCGCAGTCCCTCGAACAAAAGTCACTGTCAATTATCGTCGAACTACTAAACTTTGATAACCAGCTTGAAACTTTGGCATCGCGCCGCCAGCAATTGACCCAATAATGGAAAAACAGAGTTGCGATCATTGTTGTTGTTGTTGTCACTACTACCGCCGCGCCGTGACGAGACAAAGGAGGGTGTATATACATATATAAGGTGCTTATTCGGCCACAATTCTCTTACCGGGGCCGAGCCACGCGTACTTATGTACACAATTCCAGTACCACATCGTACGACGCCGAGGGTGGGTATAGAGGGAAGGAGGGTAGGGGTCGAGTCGAAAGCCGATTTAGCGCTTACCCGTTGGAAATCCCCGGGAAACAACTGCTCGGAATCCCATCAAAACCCAACCCAGCGTCTAAGCCTGTTTCCTCTCGCTCCGCACAGTTACCCATCTACATGGTATACACGCACACATGCCCCCGTTCCCTGCCTGTCTCGTCCTCGATCGCGAGGTAGCCGCGATTTGCAACTGACAGATGAGGCGGCCGTCCCGCGTGAAACAATCGGTATTTAGTGAACGTCAATCGAAAAGTTCGTTCATTCATACGCGTGTATACCCTGAGTCTGTCACGAGGCTGCCGTACATATTTTCCAACGATTGCCGTTTATACGCGCGACAGTCGATTTCACGCTGCCGCACACTCGCCATCGCTCCCGCGGCGATTTCCAATTTGTTCGTCGTTTTTGGCTCGAAAACTTCACGAGAGCACTGCACGTCTGTCGGAGCACGAAACGGCGCCGGCTCTGGATTAATGGATGAAAATGAAGAAGCACGCGGTTAGTCGCGATTCAACCGAATATGGTATATCGATCGAGTAGACGAGTACATTGATTGGTAATAGTATCCAAGACTCGTATTTTCCTTCAACCATGTTCTTGAAAATCGAAGCTGATTTTTTCCAACGCATAGCGTAAGAGGAGACGTGCAACTGCTGTACTATGGCGTTTATAATTTACATGTACCCAGATAAGGGTTCCCATTCAGCTTTTCCGAGTGAATCCTCGAGAAATCGGGGGCCGTCCATATTCATCCAGTTCCGGATTTTTCTCTCAATTACTTTGAACAGCTTCTTTACCAAGAAGCCGACGGACTCACCACTCACCCCTGACTTTCAATTCGTTGGTTAAAAAGCCTCGCTGACATACTCGTCCAAGCTAGAGTACAGTGAACAACAAAAATAGTGATGCTGCGCCCACGCGTGCAGTACGCGTTGTATGTACTCGTAACGAAGAAAAGGGCCCTCATTTTTTTTCTTCCAAAAGTCACCTTACGCTATGCACTATACGACACATCTACGGATCTGCGTCTGCAATTCATCTCGAGAAAGATTTTCCATCTACCCCCTCCCACTACGCACCCGACTGTTCGCTACGGCGCTCCTCTTTTGAGGAGCAGCCACGCGAAAGCAAACATGCTTACACAGCTTTCGCTCGTAAACGAAAATGCTTGGGCGCTTTCGGAGCAGCGGAAGCTAATGTGCACACATACACACGCTAAAAGCACTTTGCCGCAACGAGTCTAGCGAGCGCTCGCTCAGAGCATCCGGGAATGCATAATTTGGGAGAATCAGAGTGTATACACGTGAAACATTAGAGAAGGACGCCCCTGGATTTAACTTGTGGTGGTCCAACTTGGTGGGCATTCTTGCATCAGCAACTAACTTACGTATCGCGGCTTTCTTGAATTTTCGTCCAAAAGTGACTTTAGGCGTTTTCGCGATTGTGACAACGAACATGCTCATGAAAATTCATTCGGAAAAAGCTTCGGACACGGTTGGTTAGGCTGCGCGCTCGCCGTGTTTCGCGTCTGCAATCCCCAACCGCTTACGCGTGTATGAGTCAACCAAGAAAGTATACAGGGGGTACCATTCAGCGATTTTCATGTTTTTTTTTTTTTTTTTTTTCTTCTTCTTGCAGCTCCGGAAAAGAGTTTCAAATTTCTCGACCCCGTACCAAACAATGCCACAAACGAGCTCACCTTTGCTTGTCTGGCGGAAGATCTGTATCCACGGCCTCAAATTAAAATTAAGTTGCATCGAAACAGGTGAGACGCATCTCTTGTTCGTTTGCAAAGCTATTGCATATGTTGAGTCCTCACGGAATATCGAATTTCAACATTTATACTAAATCGTAGGACTTGAGAAAAGCATACGCCATTTGAGAACACATTTTTTACATTTCGTTCAATAAAGTACGTGTGGTTTTTATTTTATTTTATTTTTTTATCAACAATTTAAATTAAACCGCATGAATCGGGGGAGATAAAAAATGTTTCGAGGGCTTTTGGTGTTGTCAAAGCTTGCGCTTGACTGTGGATTTTTGTGATTATACAGGAAACCAATGGACATCGCTTATAAAGAATACTACGAGAGCAAATTGGACGGACGGTACAAGGCTAAAGCCGCGGCAGCGATCAAAGCTGACAAAATAGAGCTGCCAGCGATATTTCAATGCGAGATTTCCATCCCGGAAGCCAATTATACGTCCGCACAGGAGTACGTCTATAACGGTAATAAAAATTTCTCTAGTGTGGAATAAATTATTCGCAAAAAACAAGCTTTAACGTGGAACGTTGCAAAAAAATGACAAAGAAAATATTTGTTTTACGTTATCATTGCAAAATTCAAGTTTCATCCGAATAAATGTGTGTATGAACTTCGTTTTTTGAGCTGTATATTTTGGAGGGAGGAAAAAAAAGTAGTAGTTTCAACGTTTATTGCACGATGAAGTATTAACACACAATGAATAAAACGAATATTTTATGTATCACTGAGCAACCCAATTCTTAGAATCAAAGAAAACTTCTTTACCCTCATTCCGCTAAATATTTTCTTTTAATTTAAACAAAATTTAAGTTAATTGAAAATAATATTTTATTAAATTAAAATTTCCTTTTTTTAATTACGAATTTCTCATTTAGTTGTACGAAACGTATTTTGGATCGACTAAATTTGTTTCAATTAAAAGAAAATATTTAACGGAATGAGGGTAAAGAAATTTTCTTTGATTCTAAGAATTGGGTTGCTCAATTCTTGAATTTATTTGCTGACAAATAAAGAGTATCTGAGAATAACACTCGTTTGTCGCTTTTATTGAAAATCCTATGAATATTTATTGCACCATGATACAACAACAAAAAAAACAAAAACAAAAAAAAAATTTATTCACTGCTTCATTTGTCGTTTGTTTGATTACACCAACAAAATGACGCGAAATGAAGTTTTTTCTCCGGTCCATTGTAGTTTAATACGTGCAAAAAGTTGACAAACTGAATTTCCGTCGCGAGCGGCCTTAAGCAAAGTTCAAAAGTTGCCCGTGCGCAGCGAGGAATAAAGCGAATGCAGAGCGACATTGGTCACTAAAGCGCGGCTAATTAATTTAAGCTACCTTTGAAAAAGAGTTTTTACGACGCTGTACAGTACTGCTCATATAGTTTGCAATGCAAGGCTCGTCCAGCAGGCCATTAACCACAATGACGAAGCTGGCAACCCCGGGGAAATGGAGGTTCCGGTACTTTATCTTTCTCGCCCGTGCCGTGACCGAAAACTTTTTCAAACACTAATCTGGAATATTTTTTCATTATTACCGCCCAACGGAATATTGGGGCGGTGTTTTTTTTTTTTTTTTCGTTTTATCACGGGAGAGCGAGGTTTTTCTCAATAATCGAGGATGAATATCGTTTTAATGAAGAACACACACTAAATAATTAACAGCCTCGTTTTTTTCCTCAAATTTCAGGCAGTCATGTTCCCTGTCTGTCTTTACTATTAATAACACTAAACCTCGTCACGTTAAAGAGGTACTAATGGAGACAAAAATTTGTGTCAACAATATGTCCAAGTGCCTATACTAGGAGTCAGTGAGCGGACGGATACTAAAATATGATAGAAGATATTGAATTTAATGATATACAGAACCTTATAGTTGAGTATGTGGAAAGTGATGAAATGATGACGAATAAATAAACAAAAATAGAGGAATAAATGGGAAATAAATAATAATGATCATGAAAAACTTTGATCGTATTAAAAAGAAATCTTAAAAATCACCCAAAATTAAGGTGTTGCCAATTTGTGTTTTAAATAAATGTTAATTAATGTTAAAATGGATATTATATAATGTGTGTGTAAGTGTTCAACAAAAAAAGTTTAGATAATTAATGCTCGTACAAGAGGCTCTGTATATAAATACGTATATATATATATATACACACCATCGTTTCACAAAATTTCAAATAATTTTATGGATTTGTTGATAAATTTTATAAATTAGCTGATTTTTTTTAAACGATTCAGCCAACAAGAGTCAAGTAGCTTAAATTATTTTACGATTGTTATTTCAATATTAAAGTACGGCTAGATTAAAAAAAAAAAAAATCTTTCAACGTAGTCCTTGTTATTGTTCGGTACTGTAAATATATGAATGTATAAATATAGTTATGAAACTCAGTTCATTTCGATTATATGAAATTTATATAATATTTTTTACATTGAGATTATAATAAGTTTAACGAAGTAATAAGAAAACGATTAAGTATTTCGAATTGAAACTTTATTGTACATTTATGATGCACTGATGCAGTAAATATTATAATAAATTTGTATCATGAAACAAACAAATTTTTTTTAATAATGAACCAAACAAAATCCTATGATACTCCCGCAACTATTTAAAACAAGGCAGAAAAACTTTTGTTTCAATTTGCTTTGTTTTTCGTAGCATAGTGGAAAAAAACAATGGTACATCTACATTCTTTTACTGATATGAAGTTGAATATTATTTTATTTTTAATACTTTTTTACCATAAAACGTATGCTCCACTCTTAATTCCTCGAAGCTTCTATATCTTAGCTGCCTGTTGTACGGCAACCACGCATCCATACGGTTGTGTCTTGTGGTGTTTTCTCGTGAGCTCAGGGGATCCCTACAAATTGTACATGATTTTAAATCCAGAAATCCATTGTGTGCGGTTTTTAAATAAAATTCATTAATGATCAATCCAACGTCAGCCTCTAAATTTCCAAGGCAAACATCTCGTTAATTGTAAAACCCTTAATGCTACGTAAACTTTTTTTGTATATTTTTTAAACATTTAGGAAAATTAACCAAAGCTTTTATTCGGACACTTTGGAAATTATGAGAACATTTTTTTTTCACTTATTTACTTTTATCATTGAAAAATCAGAGAAAATTGTTACTTTTGTCAATCGTAGCATTGTCCAGAAAGGGTTGAATACATCCAAATTATGAAACTCACCAACACAACTTTCAACTGAGAATAAAAGCAACAAAATATATTACTGCTGAACAGAAGATTCTGAATCGATTATCAAACTAAATTTCATCTGAACTTTACAGAGCTTTTTACGTTTTCATCAGTCCCAGTTGAAAAAAAAGAAGAAAAAAATTATTACAACTATAAAAAAAAAATTTGTTTACTCATTGAATTTCCCTCGCGCGTGATGGTGATGCCCAAAAACCCTTGATCTCCATTATTTTTGAATCCGCACAAAGGACGCTTATTTTATTTATTTATTTATTTTTTTAAATCGCTCTGTCTATACCAAAAAGCAGCCCTGCACCACAAAATTACGAATCTCCAGCAATCTGGTTATAAAACTCGGTACTTTTGTACGCGTGTACATTATTATGTGTAGCCATTACTCATTGCAGATACCCCGAATAACTTTTAGCTGGCAAAGGGAGAGAGAACGGCAGCGCGCGTTCATGTAACCGTAACGCACAGCTTGCGTAATGTTATAATTGAAGCGGACGCTATTGCATTTTTTTTTTCCCTTTCGGGCGCGACTGAGCGATCACTTTTGTACATACGAAGATTGCCGAAGGCAGTATGAGCAAAAAAATGCCCGAGCGCGAGTTTCGCTTTATGCGAAGTGCCCCGAAGGCGACCTCTTGGCGACACTTTTAGGATATTCATGGGCTGGTACACACGAGCAAGTGAGTATCGCTCCAGGCATGGCTTCCGCGACTCGAGCCTCGTTGCCGCAGGGCTGGAAAGTAGGTATACTTTTTTTAGCGATCGCCCTCCGACATCATGTACGTCACTGTCCTTGCCATATATACTTCGATGGAGTTGCATGCCCTGATGCAGAAACCGGACTATTCGCGTCGGACTAATTGAGTATGATTTGTTTCTTTTCTCTTTATAACTGTGTACCTTATTTGGAAATAATAATAATAATAAAAAAAAAATTGTTTAAAACATGTTTACTTCGAAATGAGTTTTAAAACAATCAATGGAAAAATGATGGAAATTTATAAATACCTTAAATATTTTTGCACACCTTTTACTAGAAGAAGATTTAATAAGCATGGGCTATCAAACCTCGTGGTGCACTCGGAACGTAAATGACATTTAAAAAAATTAAACTAATATGGATGAAAAAATCTTGGGGGAGATTACTAAGGCAGCCTCTCATCAGTCTGCTGGCCTCATGTGGATGATTATATTACATACGTAATTATAGGCGCTAATCGATAAGAGGATAGCTTACGTATCTACATTATTGACACAGCTACCCAAAAGTTGGTATTTAACAATAGACTTGTATAATTAAACTTGTACCCAAAGGAGTAAGCAAAGCACCAAAAATTACAGGTACATGCAGCATAAGCCTACATACGTAAGTCACCAACTCGCATGCGCATGCCTGTGGCACGAGTCAATAATCGCCGATACAAGTCTCATCTCGTTGTGTGTCCGTCAACGGATTGAGTCCCCCCTTGGCCGCTCCCCCAGCACCGCATTCGCAGCAGCGAATTCAATTAATTCCCGTCCGACGTGGAGGCGTTCGGATACAGAAACGCGCGAGGCAACTCGAAACGGGAGCAGTAAGGAATTAGTGCTTTACGGCCGGCTGGTGATGATCGACATCGACGCTACACGGATCACCTGCGATATACTGCTCACGAGGCGTATTTCATTCGTTACTTTATATACGAATAATGTTTTCCAAGAAAATCATCGTAGCCCCTTTTGTATGTGCACAGAGTTGTGTACAAGAACGTTTTGAGATACGTTCTTCGTAACCAGATAAAAGAGAGATTACGGTAAAAAAAAAAAAAAAAGAAAAAAAAAAGCCCTTACGAGCCTTTTTAGTTTTTTTTTCACCCGAGGGCCCTCGGCAACGATTCAACGAAAAGATACACAATAACGCCCGAACGGCGTGTAATTATTTTTCGTTGCTCCAAGTATCTCGACGAGCCGCACAGCCTCCGTTTCCGCATAGCGGCCGAGTAAGACGAACGGGCGAGCGCGTAAAATAGTTTGTCGCAAAGAAATCCTCAGGGAATTCCCTCTTGCGCACCGACAAAGGATGAATATTACTCCGCGAGGAGGGAAGTAAAAGTGCGGGCCGGACCGAGGCGTGTGTGATTTAAACGCCTTCCGAGGAATACTTATCTTCCTCGCTGTGCGATATTACATTTTCGTGGCGCTTTATCATCACGTAAGTAGGTATACACATGTATAAACGTATACTTGTGTACACGCTCGTGTCCAGCGCGAGTTTGTTGTTGCCGGGACAGACGTGTATTATTGGTATGCACATAAAACGTACAAAAGCGGCGTTACGGTATAACCATAGTGCAAAGAGGTCGTTGAGTTAATAAATTCGGGGCATTAACTTTGCCGTCCGTTTTATTTATCGGCGTGCATTTGCGTCGGAGAAATTTTCACCTCGTTTTTCGGAGCAAAAATTTATACACGTACAACCGTGCATACGCGGTTTTCACCGTTAAGCGAAAAACTATACTTTTGTTAAAACAACGTATATTGTCCTCGTCGCGATAAACTACGATTTTTCTTCTACGTTTATCTCGACGAATCGCAACATGGAAAACTGAAGCTGTTAAGATGAATATATGCCCACGAATGGATGTGGGAAGATGGAATCGCACGCGTGGAAAAGTGATGTACCATTGGCGTGGCAAACCTGATATTCGAGGGCGGTGCAGGCGTCAGCTCTCTATTAGCTTGATTTCTAAGAAATCCCGGAATTCGACTTTTCACTGCTCCACTTTGGCGAGACGAGAGAAGCAGAAAGTACTTGCTGGATACACGTGTGTGCGCAAAAGCAGCAAAGGAGAAAACGAAACGGATCGTGCCGCCCGTGTTCCTCTACGGGGGACAACGTGGCAACTGGAAATTCAACATTTGTTTTTCGACGTCTCCAATTAATTTGTTTTACCGATCTGCGTCACGTGTCTTTATCCTACGTACCCACGAGCCCTTTAATTTCGTGCCATTTATGCTCGTGTCATCATCATTTTTCAAAAATTAAATATTTCGTGTACATCCTACACCTATCCAACGTAGGATAAATGAAGGATTCATCGTGATACGATACGATTATCTCATTGAATGAAAGATATTGTAGTTAATATTATTATAATTTTTTTTTTTTCAATACCTCTGATATTTCATCGTATGATACGTTCATATATGTGAGACGTACCAAGTAAGGCCTCCGAAAACCGATAAATTCTGCATACACATGTGCTCATTGAATGCATAAGGTATATTGAATATAAAAAAATATTTATGGTGACGGACACCCATGACCTATTTAACTTTATATTTTTTCCGGCTTTTCCCTCAAACGTACGCTCCACTTGAGAGGAAAGAAAATAAAACATTTTCCTCGCGAGAACCATTAAAGGCAACCTTTTTATACAGATTTGTTAAAAAAGAAAGGGAGGAGTCACGCGCGATGTGTTGGTCGTTTGACGTACACCGCAACACCGCATAGAGGAACGGGCCACGCAAATACCCTCGATAACAAAAAGGGTAGCAGCATGACCTTAAACGTACACGCGCAGACAAGCACAGACGCTTTAATTTGCAAATCCCTCCAAATTATGAACGCCCCATGAGCTGCAGTCGAAAACCAATAGCCGCGGAAGAGAGATCGGGGGTCCGCCCGGGAAATTCCAAACGCGTGGTGAGAGAGATCACGTTCGCTCCCTTGAGCGAAAAAATTCCAGTACCAAGAGCCAGCGGGAGAGAGGAAAATGCGCCAAGTATTTCGGTAAGCGCGGAGTAGCAGGTGCCCGCATTCTGGGACGATTAGCGCTGGAATTCTCCTCCTCCTCCTCCTCTTGTAACCCTACACCGGCAAAGACGACAGTGACGATGGGCTTTACATTACCCTGTGGCCTTGCGCATTCCCCTTGAGCGGCATCTAATATCGGGTGTATATATATAGATCTAGTCTTTTGCATTCCGGTTTTATCAGGATTATTTGGACGCAGGAAGGGCACGCTCCGTTTGGTCGATTGGAGACACGATCCACTAGCCCCCGGGCTCTTGCGTGTAGTTATTTTGATTGAAGGGTCCACCCCTGCTGGGAGGAATTTGTTCGAGTTGGAGCTCGCTCCAGATGCCCTTTCCCGTTTGACGTGAAGCCGAACTTTATGGATGCGCCTAAGAGCG